TTTTAAACCAATTCCTCTTGTGTAATATTTTCTGCAGAAACGACTGATTGCTCAGACTAAGATGGTGCTGAAGGTGCTTTTCCTTTACATCCCTCTCCCCATGTTCTGGGCGCTTTTTGACCAGCAGGTAAAGTAGAAAKTGTTTGGCTTGGTACTTAGAGCTGTACCATGCCACTCTACTTACTCTGATATCACCAGACATAAAAGGTGCCTTTGGGAGTGTGGAAAAACAAATTCTTTACCCTGGTTTTATTGCAAAAGGGTAGTTACTGAGTCATGTCAGTACAGGATGATCTGCAGCCAGGGGCAGACTCAATTTATGCGAGCTCATCCAGCACAGATTCAGTGACTGAGGCCTCCCCAAATCTTTTATCAGCCTGGGACTTGGCTTGTCCCAGCTACAGGCAGGTTTTTGGGGCAGAGGGCTCCAGGCAGGTCAAGCCTGGCTCTGGGCTGTTTGAAGGAAGGATGGGTGAGTGGGAGGTGTGGGCTGCTCGGGCTCAGGCTGGTGACACAGCACACGGCAGTGCCCTGCACACCATGTCCATGCCCGCTCTCCAGCTGATTTCTGCATCTAAGTTATTTTCCACTGTATTTCACAAAACAAGTCAATGAAGTGGAATGGGCCACGAGACCCACTTTGTTCAGGTGTTTACATTGCAGAGTAAGAATACTCCCATAGAAAGCTAGCTCTACTTTTTGTTGTATTGCATGTCTTTTCCAACACTTGACTTATAAAAAGAATTCAAAAGGAACTTAARACATTGATTTAATGTGACATCTAATTTTTTCTTCTCYTTTTAAGGGGTCAAGATGGACATTGCAAGCCACAGCAATGAATGGGGATTTTGTAGGTTGCTTTTTATTCCTTTTTTTTTTTAATTAACACTTTTCAGATCGCTTCTATTTGTTGTCATAATAATAAAACCTTTTTTTTTTTTATCTCCTTCTCCAGGGTATTTCAATTCTACCAGACCAAATGCAGGTACATTAGTTTTTTGATTTACCAATTACATCTGAAAGATTATATATATATTGCCCTTACTTTAAAAAAGCACTTCGAAAAATACTTAATCTTTTTCTCATGTTCATCTTTCCCAGATTGTGAATCCAGTCCTGATTATTATAATGGTCCCAGTTGTAGATTATGTGGTATATCCTTTAGTCAAGAAATGCAAGATCAATTTTACGTAAGTTGGTGTAATTATCTGACTTCAACAGAGGCTCATTTTAGTGGTTTCTTTAACTGGCTCTTCCAGCCCCAATGTAACAAGAGCAAGCTTTCAGCTAAGGAGGAAGTAGAAGTGTGTTTAAAATGGGTTAATATTTTAAAGAAATTAAAATATAAAAGAACTAGAATATTRCAAGTGGTGTAGAGGCACCACAGATTAGGAGAATATAATAGGAAAGTAACAATGTTTTTCAATTWAGAACAAAATCTTTTGATTGTGGGAGAGACAATCTTGATTGTTTTCCATATCTCCATGTCTACCCCCTCTCCCCCCTGAAGAAAGTAGAAATACAACACACGTCCCTAGCATGTGTCATGTTTTGTGCATAAAAGTAACTGAGACATGAGATGTTTTCTCTTCGGTCTCCGCTGGGCAACTCTGGTTCACTCGGTAAATTCTAGGTGAAGCTTTGGGGGCATTATTTTTTAACATTGGTATTGAAGTGGCTAGCACTTGTTTGGAGAGGCAGAAGAGAATACAGTTCTTAAAACAATATTCAGAGAGCTAAGGTGCAATGCTGTTCTTTCGTGCAACTATGAAAAATCTAAGGTGTGTGCTGTGCTGCAAACACTGTCATTTATTTGTGGATATTCTACACTGGATGAATGATGCCATAAATTAAATATATACTCTAAATCTATTCTTACAGCTTAACTGCRTGCCAGTACATGTCTCCTAATTCAACAAATTTCCCTGACTGTTTTTGTTCAACATTATTTATATAGCCATTATAGCAATAWGTAGACAAGTATTTTTTTCAAGGCGTATCTTCTTGTGTCTCTCTTGTTTCACAGCTATCAACTCTATCAGACTGGGTTTTTTCTTCCTGCAAACACAGATTTTTTTTTCAGCAACCTAATAATTACGTTCAGCCAATGTTTGAGCCCAGCAGATGCAGAGTAACAGGTTATTAAGATGCTGCAGGAAAGATGTATTTCCTGACAGTGTAACTAAGAATTGAGAGGTACCCAGCTCTACCCAGTGTTAGCAGAACACTTTCTGTAATAACATCAGCCCTTCAAATGGTGAAAACATGATAGTTGTGGCCATTTGAGTTTACAGAGTGGAAAGAAAACAAGCAGCTGAAGATTTAAATTAACACTTCTCTTAAATCTCACATGTCTTTTGTTGTACTAGGCCCCTGAAGAAGATGACTGTGGGGATGTTCTTTGCCTCTATGGCTTTTGTTGCTGCTGCCCTTGTGCAAGTGCAAATAGATGTAAGTTCAGMCACATCGAGTACTTTCTATTAATATTTAGTTGTTAATTCACAAAAAAAGGTGGGTTTAAGGGGAAAATGAACCAAGACTCCTAAATTTGGAACCAATCATACAAGCAGAGAAGTAGAGGGTGGGGAAATACATTGCAATACTGTGGTTAGCATAGCAAAATTAATTAGCAACAAACGCTATCCTGCAAAACATCTCATTGTAGTTAACAAAAATCAGGCATTACAGGCAAGSTCAGTCTTTACACCGAGACTAAAAGCTGACAACCAGACATTTGCTTGGCCTACCAGAGGGCTGCTTTGTATGTTTGCCCTCTTCAGATATTTTGACTGGAGGTGAAGTTTAACAGTCCAGCAAGTATCATCACAGCAAAGATGACACTTGTTGGAAGAAAGATTTGTCTTTCCTAACCTTCATTGCCCCAAAGGGAGGTGCTATGCCTGAACCAGATGACACTTTCCCCTGTAGCTGGAACACTGGCTACACCTCTGGGTGGGGATCCATTGCATTCCAGGAYCTGAATAGCTATCTAGAAGTGTCTGTTGTGGATGAGAGACTTCTTTCCTATGGCAACTTGTGAGACTAGTAACAAAATCTGATTCAGGTTTCATCCCTCATACAATCACAGATCAGCAGGCAAATGCAAATCTTCAACATGAAATAATAAAGATTACAGTAATTATAATAACTTTTTTATGTGACTTAGGGCACTGATTTTACTTTTCTTCCTGTGCTATAGAAAACCTATCCAGTTTTCCCTGCAGCTGGGCAAGCTCAAATCAGAGTAATAAATCTAGGTCTTGTTCAAGGAGAAGTTCACTTCCAGCCTCAACTTCACACTGTGGAGCTACTCCGTAATGAGGAGGTAAGTAAGGACAGAAGAAAARTGTTTAAAAACTAATGAAAATTAATTAAAACTAATTAATTAAAAATCTATTGGGAAAAGTCAAAGTTATTCTTAACTAATGGTTCAACACTTATTATTTTTTAGGATTTTTTTTACTCTGATAATTTTTTTTTTTGTATTGTGGAATGAATTGTTACTGAAAACACAGTGAATGAAAAAATGGTAGCTATGTCARTATTTGAAGTATTACTAGTTTGTTTTGACAAGAGTGGGGTTTTTTTCTAGAAACTTATAAACTTAACAGTGATTTGAAACTAGTTGAAAATGTTACTCTTGTTAAAAAGGTTCCATTTCTTAAAAGCAACCTCTTCCTTCAGTAAATGTCCCTTTAGCTCTAGTGAGTCACTGYTTCTCCTCTGTGGGATGACTTACCTGAACAGGGAGCTTCTTCTGTGGTGACATCACACATTAAGCCTCAGATTTTTTTCTGCCAAAAAACTTTTTCTAATACAACACTGCATTGGTTGTTCTATTGACAGCAAAATRTGGCAGGTCTGATGGATGTTTTTGACAAGGGATGTTAGGAAGTGTGTTCTCTGCAGTTCTGTTTCCCTTTAAGAGGAGAGATCCTACTCCATCCTCCTCCAGATTTGCCTGACATCAAAACAGAACTGTGAGGAGAGAATAAGGGCATGCAGACTGTGTATTGACAGGGAACTGATGTAACCATGGTATGTAACTGAAAATKAAAAGTATAAAATGCTCTATTCCATATTGTAGGCATTTTATAATCCAGATGTGGATTATAAAGTGCTTTTGATAATCCTATAAAACAAAAGGGTTATTTTAGTATAACACTAACATATTTACTAATGGTTTAAGTATTTTATGTTGATTAAATGTGTTTAGTGTATTTAAAACACGTCACTCCTGTTTTTTTGAAAATACTTTAATAAGCAGTAAGGATTGCATCTTATGCTAGTGCTACCTCAGTGGCTAAACAGAATTTTACTTGGTGGTTCTGGTAAGCCTGATTTATCTGCAACAAGAAATAGGAAAATACAACAGCTATTCCATAATGCTTGTGGAAAGCTCATGTAACTTTGAAGCCTGTGTAACAAATTAAATTAATAAAAAAATTGATCAAATTGAATTAATGCTTGAGGTAGAAAACCTAACATAAATGAAAGTTAGGGGATGTTCATGATCTCTGGCACTTCAGAAGTAACATGTGTAAACTTCTGACTGACCCTCACCAGAGCCCATAATATTCCCTCAAAAGCACAGACAAATGCAGCTGTACAGAAATTCATGGCAGTTTGTTTGTCTTTGTAGACTGGCTACATGACATTTGAAACTTCTAAGCTGRAATCTATAGACATAATTTCTCCACTGGCAGAAACATCTCTGCCTTTGAATCTGACAGCGAAGGAACGTTACACTTTGATATTTGAATGGAAAGTATCATACATAGAGACTCAYCTGGTAAGTCTGCTTATTTCTTAAGATATACATCAATGTTTTGACAGCTATCTATGTGGAGTGTGTGAAGCTCAGAAGACAAGGTCTGGATAGCTTTTTTCCTTTGTCTGTCTCTCCTTGTCTCTGCTGTACCACTATGACTGCTGAGCTGTAGAGACTACATCAGGGTGTCATTTAAAAAAATTTACCATTTTATTATTTACCTTGACAACTACCCTTTCACCAAGAATATGTGGTCATACAGTGTCTTCTAGTAGATATGTGTGCTGGTAGGATCCTCAAGAGGAAGGTCTGGACACTTGCTCTGAAGMTTCTGTTAATTCCCACTGCTGTGTATCAGCACATATTGTATGCTGTCCTCTGATGCCAAYAACATATTTTGATTATGGTCTTTTCCACCAGATATTGGACAATGTTACATCAAAACCAAAAGAAGGAAACAATCTCGTAAGGTAGAGTTGTTTTTGTGTCTAAATTTTGRCAGTAGTGTGACTGTCTCTTCAATCTGCCTTTGGGTGGACTCTTGTTGAACATAATTTTCTATACTGTAGGAACTCACCTCTTGCTGGATACTTCACTTGATMTTTTAGGGGATGTTATAACTTTTGAGTTACAAAAGTTTCACTTATCTTGCGCACCTGCTTTTGGTGTTATTTAGCGAAAACTGGAAGTGTATGCTTCGTTCTATTGCCTAGACTTTTTTATTGGACAAATGGTATAGATTACATAGCTATACCTCCTTTTTAATCTTGGATAAGGGTATCTTCCGACTTCTCCCTTCTCTGCTTTTCTTCTACATCTCCCACTTGCAGATGCATTACCCGTTCACTGTAGTAATGGCTTGGTTTTGATGTTCTCCTAAGGCAATGGGTTGATGRGGGTCTAACTTGCTTTTTGTATTAGCTACCCTTTAAGAGATTTAGAGCTTTTACCAAAACATTAATTGATTTTAAAAGAAGCATTAAATGGGAAAACTTGATCCATGTTGTTGGATAATTGGCAGGTTGCTGACAACATATAATTAAAGTAAAACCTGTATTCTTTGACTCTTGCATATTTTGTGTAGTATTTAATCATTTTAATCATAATTTTTCCATTTTAAAGGTTCATAAACAATTTAGGTTATACTGTCAATGTTACTATGGATGGCATGGACTTTGGAGTACTGCCTCATCTTTCTGTCAGTAATTACAGCATCGTTACAGCAACAAAAGTGTAAGCATTTTCCTTTATCATAATTTAATCTCTTAGATAGACTTGTTCTTGGGAAAAGGGCACACAACTTCTTTTATGTATGTTATACACACAATTGACTGCACCCATGGTCTGAACTGTGTGTTTTGGTTTTTTTTTTTCTTTTTTTCAGGCCATATATCATTCAGGCTTCACAGACTGGGTCTGTATCCTTTTGTACAGGTCTTTCAAAGAAATTTGGATTTGGCAGTGCCTACACCATTTCACTTGATAAGGTGAGTTGCCTCTGTTGTTGGATGGACAATATASAATTAATTTCCATGTTGATACTTTAATTAAAAAACTGCTTTTAGAATGATTCCTCTTGTCTCTAATTGTATATAGGATAGAATTCTGGTATGTTAACAGGACATAAACCCATTGTCAACTATAAAAATAATTACTGGTATGATAATGATAATAACATAATGAAAGAATTAATGATCACCACTAATGGCCTTAAATCATCAGCCCTGTAAGAAGCTACATATTTGCATGAAGTCTGCTGTAAAAACCCTATACTTTATAACTAGATATGATTTTGATATGACTTTATAACTAGCATATGAATGCCTCATATGCAATATTTGTTATTTACCCTGAACTTTCTTTATGATTATGGAACTGCTTAAAATGCCTTTACTCTGCACACTCATTATTACTATTCCTAACATGCTATTTTAATTTCCAGTGTAACTCCACACTTGACACAGTATACTTTGAAGATGTTGCACCAAATACAGTCCATATGGCTTGGCAGATCCCTCAGTATTTTCTTCTTACATGTGGAGAAGTAATGTTCTCTGTCACTGGGGTAGAGTTTTCATATTCACAGGTAGGTATTCTTCTTGTGTTAAGAATCTCGCTGCAAGTTAAGATCTTCTGTGATCTGTTGTTTTTAAGTGGTTCTGCACTGCTGCTTTGATTAGCTATATTCCTTACAGTTCCCTAGTAGGACTGTATAGGCTGATGGCCCTATTTCACTAGGATTTGGTGTTTTCCATGAAGCTGAATTATACCGCTTAATTACTCAGTTATATATTTTGAAGACCTGACAACCAGTCCCCAAATTTCCTTCTCACATGTGACTCTCCATTGAAAACAAATGCAAATGTACTGTTGCTGTAAAACCAAACTGGAGAGCTCTCAAATATAAAATAAGGAAGTAGTGACACCTTATCTTCACACCAGTTTACTCCATACAGCCTTTATTAGCAGTTTAGTTAAACACTTCTAATTCCTTTTTCTTCTGACTCTGGTTTATCAGCTKTGTGTATTTCTTCTTCTCTTAATTCTGAATCTAGAAACTGCAGTGATGGGAATGTTGTAAGGTGTGGCTTGCTAGGTGATGCACTCAGTTTCTTCATGTCATGCATGCCAGGTGTTACTGAGATGTAAAATATTCAGTGTGTTAGTTACTCAGTGTGTATAGAGTAAAAGGTGTTTGAGCTAGTGTGCTAGTGGTCTCTTGCTCCTCAAAACCTTCTCCAGACCCATTCAGCTCTCTACCAATTTTTAATGCAAAAAAATTAATAAATTAAAATCCCAACCACCATCAAAACCTACCAAACCAAGAAATCCTCTTCCCTTCCCTGTTTATTGTAAGGTAAACAATGTGATAAATATTAGAAAAYAAGTGATTATACCAAAACTTTAATGTCTCTCTACAGGCCCCCTCTAATATGAAGTCAGTGCTGCAGGCAGGATGGCTGCTGACTGTGGCTATTGGTAAYATAATCGTCCTGATCGTGGCTGGGGCATCCCAACTCAGCAAGCAGGTAAGCATGTGAGCAGTGGGTGTGCTGTTATATTRCACTGTGAGAAAGCAGTTCTAATCCAGGGGAGACTCATAATAATAATATAAAGAAAATATAAATAGCTTTTCAACTAAAGTTTCTACTTACCTATTGTTTGCCATCCTTAACTCCTGTTAGGCTCCTTTGCTTGCAGTTTCTAGCATCCCTGCAATTAATTTCTTCTCATGGTGTAGAAAGTCTGTTAACTTTTGAGCTGAAATTCTGCATTAATGGAATTAAAACCTACCAAAATTCTCTTAATTGCTAAYGAGCCTTCACCTGCATACCACAGCCTTGCCACATCCCTTCTTCTGGCTCAGTTGGTTTCAAACCTCATTGTTTGGGGCACAAAAACTTTGACTCTCCTGATATAGAGCATTTGTACTACTGTTTATTAGTAGACTTAACAGACTTTCTGTTTATTAGTAGTCCTCCCTAATGAATTTAAATGGCTCTCTGAGAGAGGGAAGAGCTTATCTCTGAAAAACGTCTGGCAGTCCCCAGTTTCAGCTAAATTAAATCAGAAAGAGCATGACACAGATGTTGAGGCTTTTCAGGTAGAGTTTCTAGTCTTGATCTTTGTCCATATTTGTGGTCAGTAGGTCAGCAGTGAAAATTTCTAAGTGGAAGCAGAATCAGTGCCAGACTGGTTTAGAATGCGATTATCTGACCAAAAGGAGGGAGCTGAGTTTCCTTCTCAGTCTTTCATTCAATTCCCTGTTCTTCCGCAAAAAGGATATTGCAGAATTTTTCAACATTCACAGAATTTTTGTCTTTTCAGTGAAGAGAGAACTGCAGAAAGAGCCTTAATTCTGAGWTGTTTTAATATCAATTATATGCATTAACACTTAGTCCTGTAAGCCATATGATACTTGTTATGTATACTCAGTTTCACATTCTGAGTTTACKCCTTGAAAATACTAAAATAGTTTAATATTTCTGACAAATGAGTATTGGTGGATAAATTCTGTTTGGTTTTTTGTTTGTTTTTTATTTTACAGTGGGCAGAATATGTGCTGTTTGCTTCCTTGCTGTTGGTAGTTTGCGTCATTTTTGCTATCATGGCTTATTTTTATACCTATATTGATCCAAATGAGATTGAAGCCCAATTCAGTACGGAAGAAAAGGAAGAAGACAAGAAGGATCAAGATGACGATGAAAAGGAAGATGATTCTCGAATGTAAAAGCTGTATTCAAGGAGAGTTTATAAATTATGGAAATCCCATTCACTCTCCCTGCAGTAAGAGGAACTGGGCTATCACTAATAACACCTCTGGACTATACATTTKGTGGGAGACAGTAAGAAAAACTGTTTTAACTTGAAGTGCTTCTCTAGGGAAGCAATAGGAAAATAATGGTCTCTCTTGTACTGAATGTGGTATCCTGAAGAAACTCCAGCAGAATTTGCACTCTTAATGTACCTCAATCTTAAATATTATACCATTAGAATATTGRAATTAGAACTATTGGAACTTGGAACTATTTGACCCTGTGAAAAGATGTATTTTTATATTGCATTTCAATTTTATAYCATGAAAGAAACAAGACTTGTCAAGGAACAGCAATTGAAGCCAAGTTCTCGGCATGATCTCTCTAGCATCACTGTTACTTGAAAGCAGCAGGTCATATGTGCCTTAAATTCTTTTGTACCTCCTTCCAGATGCTGGGAACAAAGCTCTGGCAGTGATCAGATTAACATGTTGTCTGTATTCCAAGTGGCAGTAACTTGGACGTGCACTGTAATGTAATGCTTTATCTGCCTGTTAACTACCCATTTAACCCCTGTTATGTCTTTAATTAATATTAGAAATGCCCACTCAGGTGAACTGATCACGGAAATGACCTTTGGAATAAGCAAGAGCAATAAAACTTGTGTTATAACAAAATAAGGAGAGTGTCTTAAGAGTATGGCTTAYAGCTGCATGGTAACAAAACTTGCTACCAGCTCTTTGCCACTTTTATCTACATGCTCCATCACTTAAAGCTAATGGATTACTGTTGGTCTTCTTTGTATTAATATATCATAACAATTCTATGCTAGAAGAGACTAAATTTTGCTGCCTAACAGGACCTGCTGCTGTATTCCTGTGGTCYGTTTTACAGAGTGCCAGTAGTCTGCATGTTGTTTTGGTAATTCTTGTTTTTTAAGGTCTCCATCCTACACTTTTTCCWGCAGCTTGGACTCACTGGCCCTCCAGTAACCTGGCCAGACTTTCAGCTGCTTTGATACCTGTCTTCCAATACTCTTGCACTATTTTACAGCAATTAATTTTGACATTTGCAAGTGATGACACAGCCCTCCCTTTCCAAGCAATGGGTGTTGTGCTCGTACAGCGGGGGCATGGGCGCCTGTGACCCCTGTTCCCAGTGGAGCTGCTGGCACCTAGGCCTCCATGTGCACAGAGAATAGAGTCCCTCACCATGAAGACAGTTACAAGTGGAGTTTAAAAAGGCAAGTCCAAGGTGCTYTYTGCTTGTGTTAGAGATAGTCCTGTWACCCCATAGGCAGTAATCCCCTCTTGGTCTCTAAGGTCAYCTGGGGATAGCCTGATGGATTTGAGATACTGCATGTCCCCCTGCCAATGGTCTCCTGTAACAGCCACAGGAGCAGCTGGCTCCCTGCCAACCTCTGAGGAGTTAAGGGGGTTTTATACCAGCTCTATTTATGGTAGACTAGCTAGCTTTTCCTCTGCCACGCAAGCAAAATAAATTACCTCCTAACTATATCCCGATAAAATAGCGTCTTGTGCCTACTACTTTGTGTATGCCAGATGACATGTTTATTCAACATTTTAACACTACTTTTTTTTCCCCTTTGAAATACAGGTCATGTGTCTAGTTTTCATATCATAAGCTGTTRGAACTTAGTGCTTTAGCAAACCCACTAAATACAACATGATGGATGTAGTTTAGGATTAGAAAGCCAACAATACTGTAAAATTAGATAGGAAACTTTTCTGATGAGGTGAAAACTACTTGTAAGGTCAGAATGGAGACAGTTGTGCATGACAAGATTTTAATCTCTTTTTCAACAAGGATTTAAATAATTTAAGTTAAAATACCCATGTGCATACCTGGGTAGCTCCTGTCAGCATTGCTGTGACTGTGTCCAGAAGCCATCTGCAGGGAATTGGTTTTGGGCTGAAACTGAGTCTTTTCAGTTCCTTAGTTTTTAGCACTAAAGAGGTACAGTTAACCTCTGAATTGGACAGTGTTTAATTTAGGGTGCTGCTGTCTAGACTAACAGACTTGCTGAGAGGGGTCTTTTGCATATAATTTTCTGTTACAAAGAAGACACCCTGAAATCAATCAAATTAACAGTCRTTCTAAATCCAGTTCTTAAACAAATAGCCCATAAAATGCAAGMGTAATGATGAAACCCTGTTGTAGCAATCCAATCTGCACTCATTCATGGCCAGGTAGATACAGAAATGTGTATGTCCATATGCTTAATAATATTGCAAATATACTGTAAAACTTCATGTTTTACATACTTCCCCTTCGCTAAGCCTAATGACACTTGACTTAAAATAGATCAATGTCATAATCTCTGAACTACATTAATCCATCCTCTGCCATKTGCTGTTCTTAAAAATTGGCATATTCTTAACCACTCTTCACTGAAAGAAATTTCTCCTCACATCCAATCTAAACCTCCCCTGGCACAACTTGACSTCCTTTTGTCTTGTTCTACCACTGATTGCCTGGAAGAGGCTRCACCCTCTTTTCAGGCATTTTTAGAGAGCAATAAGGTCTCTCTTAGGCCTCCTTTTGTCCAAGCTGAACACCCCCAGCCCCTCAGCTGCTCCTCATAGAAYTTGTGCTCCYAGACCCTTCYCAAGTTCCACTGCCCTTCTCTGAACTTGTTCCAGCACCTCAATGTCCTTCTTGTAATGAGGGACCSAAAACTGAGCACAGGACTTGAAGCGTGGCCTCACCAGTGCTTAGTACAGGKGGGCAATCACTGTTGCTGATGCAATAAGYARCAAGCCAGGATGCCRCTGGTCTTGGCCACCTGGGCTCGCTGCTGGCTCATGTTGGCTGGCTGTTGACCAGCASTCCCAGGTGCTTTTCTGCCTGAAGTTTTCCAGCCACTTGCTCCCAGCCTGCAGCGCTACAGGCACTTGGTCACTTTGAATCTCATGGATCCATCCTGTCCAGATCCCTCTGCAGAGCCTTCCTACCCAGCAGCAGATCAAGATTCCCAYCCAACTTGGTGTCCTCTGCAAAGTGACTGAGGGGGYATTTGATCCCCTTTCCACCTCATCAATAAAGATATTAAACAGGWCTGCTCCCAGTACTGAGCCCTGGGGARCACCATTGGATGTAACTCCCCTCACTCCCACTCCTGGCAGTTTTTTACCCAGCAAAGAGATGTCCAAGCTGTGGGCTGCCAGCTTTTCCAGCAGAATTCTGTGGGAGGCAGTGTCAGAGGCTTTGGTAGAAGCCTCAGAATTCTAGGTAGACAACACCCCCAGCCTTTCCCTCACCCACTAGGTGGGTCACCTTGTCACAGAAAGAAATCAGGTTGGTCAAGCAGGACCTGCCTTTTTTAAACYTCTGCTGGCTGGGCCTGATCCTCTGCATGTGCAAWGTGATCACACTCAATCTGTTCCATAACCTTCATCAGCACTGATGTCAGGCTGATAGCTCCTGAAATCTTTCTTGCACATGGGTGTCACATTGGCTAGCCAGCAATGACTTCCTTCACAGTGGCATCCCAAACACTGATTTGATGGTATAAAGTTGTGTTACAACTGTCACTGGCTAGAGGAATCCTAATTATTGCAGATGCTGTTCAGACAGGCTTGCCTTTGCTGGCAGATGTGCTGGGAAGAAAGAGCTGGTTTTCCCTGCAATGCCAAAACTGTCATAGGACCTTCTGAAACATAAGGAGAATATCTGCAGTGAAAGTGGCTCTGTTTCGGCAACACTGTTGCCATATTTTGGGGGTGAGGGAAAATTAAAATTTGAAACTGGAAGCTGCATAACTAAATAAAATAATGTATAAAAATTACACTAGAGTGAGGCACTTTCACAGCACTCATTCTCAAATTGCTGTTGTAACCCCTCATTTGACCTGCTTCTGCTGTAAGTGGCAAATGAAACTCTCATGAGATTAAGATGAAATTTCAGCTGTCTGCTTATGTGAAATTGTATTTATCCTCCTCCTGTGAGATTCAGACGACTGCAATATATGTCCCTGTGTGAACATCTTTCCATCTTAGCCCATAAAGGGCTTTTTTTTTCCACTTTAAATTGAACATCAAGTTCTTTCCCAGCTGGGAAAAATACTTTATTCAAGCCTGGTAAACTTAAAAAAAATAACACCAGTGCTCCTGGAGCCATGTTATGCTTCCTTGGGAGTGAAAATCAGATTTTTTTTTTTTTTTTTCTGCTTAGATGGTAGTTCTATTTCCTAAAGGTCTTATTGTACAAAAAATATTTCAAGTAAAGGTTAATTCAATTGTTTCAGCTCCTTCAGGCTGGTGCTTTAGTTCAAAGAGTGCTGGAGATCCTTTAGTTCTAAGGTGCCTGTAACCACCTAAGTGAATTAATGATATTGAATGCATTTTTACTGAAAACTGATATTAAACATGGGTGGGACCACTGCTACACGAGGGTTCTCAAGTTAGAGCCATGGATGTCCCAGTGTGCAGAGCCTGGCTGAGTGCTGAAMCTGGATGAGGAGACTTTGCTTAAGAAACTGAGCAYGGAAATTGGGAAGGGAGGGAAGARAACCTCCAGATTCCCTACATCTGCACCTACTGTCCTGCAGGGAGCAGGAATATGAGACTAATGGTCATTATATTCTCTGTTGCAGCAGAGCAAGGTATTACTGCCACAGACCATCTCCTCCCCGTTTTGGACCAGGCTGTGSTCATTCACCAACACATTCCTGATTGAGTTAGGGAAACCCAAACTGGGGTTTGGCATTTTTTGGTTGGTTGGTTTWCAGTTTCAGCTGTTTATTTCATGTATTCATTGGAAGCGTGACTCATCATTTCTCCACTACATCTTCAGAGCAGATGGCTGCCCCCGCACCCACAGCACACCGGGGATGAACGCGCTCCCTCCCTGACTTGCTGCCTCCCCTGCTGTAGGAGGCAGACCCAAGATGCTGCTCTGTGCCATCTATTTCCAGCTCAGGGAACTTGTCAGAACCAGAAGGAATCAGAGGAGCCCAGAGCCATTTCCCATCTGCCTTGAGGTAGCTTGTGGAACAGGAAGGATTTATCTTACTTTCCCCAGATTGGGCTTTTTGCAGTGAAGCGACATTCTAGGTAATACCAATCGRTATAAAATACACGACGCTTTCCTTTCTTTATTCAACCTTTCTTTCTTAGCCAGCTCTCTCTTTCTTTCTTACCCTTGCYCAGGCTAATCTTCCCGAAGGGTAGCCCGGGGTCACTTCCCAGGACCTCATTTTCCACCACCAGGTGGCAGAAAAATACGCTGCAGTGGCAGGGAAGGGGACGGAGAGGGACACCTAGAAAACCCCTCTACACGATAATCACTTTTTGCTCGCGTTACCAAAAATTTCAGATTATCCTATGAAAATACGTAGATCAGTATTGCATCATATCAGATGCATAGATAGTATCAGTAGATAGGCTGTATGTTTAGAAAAATAAAAATATTTGGGTGGATTTAAGCAAGAGAGAGTCTCAGGCAGCATTGGTGGAAATTACTTCTCCTATAAACTTCTAAAAAACTTCTTAAAATTGCCAAAATCCCACGTGGTAATATAAAAAGAGATGTTGATATTGAATAACAGTAAAAAAACCCCCAAGAATAAAGCTGATTGTGCTGCAGCACCCAACACCTTTACTTTAAAATATGATAAAACCACTGTCTTCATCTTGTGCTTAATTCAATTTAACTGTAGGACCAAAACCCTGGGCATGAAACTGCTCTAAGAAGCAAAGCCACKAGCAAGTTTGGGGGACTTTTTGTAACTGAACAAAGTGTCAGAYGAAACAAAATTGGCTCCTGTGGGCACAGCAGACTCACAGCAGACAAAAGAGCACCATGATAAATACAGGGACGTGTAGACACTTCAGGAAACCATCATTTTAAGTGGACACAAATMCAGGCTGAATTGGGCTGAATTTGGTTCTGACAGATGAAGTATAATTTCAGACTCCTGCCTCCTGGGTGACTTCCCAAACTCTTAATCTGTTGTACAGCCACTCAGCCTACCCTGCCATTAATAAGAAAGCCACAATCATTGCATTTGATAGGGGCYCC